TCCCCCCCCCTTCCCCACTCTCTCCTCCCTTTCGTCTTTAGTAACCCATCCTAGCATTAACCAACTCCCCCACACCACCCCACACGTACACATTCCCCCATTGCCAGCTGTCTGGTTGTATTTGAGGTTGGGTTTGAAACTGGTGGAAAGAGAGGGGAATGTGTCCTTACAGCAGTAAAGCACCAGTGTTCTTGTAAGTGCGTGGTAGTGTGAACTGCAGTTTTTCCGAGGAGCTCTTATGTTTGTGGAATAGATTATTGCAGACAGGATGTTTAGCCTGCCATTCCTGTGTTGCCACTCTGCATCAACAACTTGCTAATCTCATTCACTTGTCACCTTGCAAATAATTAATGTTTAAACATCTAATTAATCCCCTTTTTTGAAAACTGTATAGCAAAAATGAGCAGAGGCATAACAAAACAACAGACGCATTTCTAAAGATGGAGCACAGGAGCATTTGGGGTATATGCACACAACTCACTGAAGTTTGAGATAATGGTTAACAAAGCGTATGGGCTCCTGAGGTTTATGTGAAAAGAGGCATAGGAACGGAAGTCATGGTGAATTTTTATCAATTCTGGTTTGGCCTCAGCTGGAGTTTTGACTCTCATATTGTGTACCACACATAGGAGAGTCTCTAGAACAGACATACAAGAATGGTTCCATGGATTTTCATTTTTATTTGTTTGTGGGTTGTGGGTATTGTTGTCTAGACCACTGTTTATTGTTCATCCCTAATTGCTCTTGGGAAGGTGTTGGCGAGCTACCTTCTTCAACTACGGTAGTGCTTGGGGTATAAGAACATCCACAATTCTGTTAGAGAGGAAGTTCCAGGATTTTTGTCACAGCATCAGTGAAGGAAGGACAATATATTTCCAAATCAGGATGGTGTGTGTCTTGGAGGGGAACTTGCAAGTTATGGTGTACCCATGTATCTGCTGTCTGTATCTTCTAGGTAATACAATACACTGGTTTGGAATGTGCTTTTGGAAATGTTTTCGTGAACAACTGCATTGCATCTTGTAGATGGTACAAAACTGTCCCCTGCATCTGTGTTGAAGGAGGTGAATAATGGAGTGCTAATCTAGCAAGCTGATTTATCTTGGATAGTGTTGAGCTTCTTGAGTTTTGTTGGAATTTCCATTTCAATCTTAAATTTTGTTTTGATGCTTCAGCTTTTAAGGTATAAAGTTTGCCACTCTTGTGTGCAGTTATGTTTTCTTTGTAAATGTTTCTGTGCATTTTATTGCGTATTTTAACTAGAGGTGAGGTAGCTGAACTTTCGAACAGAAGGTGCAGAGAAAAATCAACTTTAATACGTGAGAGGTCTGTCCATAAGTTTGGTAACAGCTGTTCTTAAATCTATTGGTACGCATTTTCAAACTTTTGTATCTTCTGCCTGATGGAAGGGGGTGGAAAAGAGTTTAATCTGGGTAGGAGGGATCTTTGATTATGTTGACTATTTTCCTGACACAGGGGGACATATAAACGGAGTCAATGGAAGGCAGGCTGGTTTCCACGATGGACTGGGCTTTGTTCACAGCTCTTTGTAATTTCTTGTGGTCTTGTGGTCTTGGGCAGAGCAGTTACCATACCAAGTATAGAAATGGCTTTTTTCTGTGGTTGGCAAATCACAAGTGAGAAGTCATTAATTTAAAATCAAAACAGTGTGGAGCTGGAAAAACACAGCAGGCCGGGCAGGAAAGTTGACATTTCAGGTTTACACTCTTCACCAGGACTGGGAGGGGGAAGGGAGCTCAGACATAAATAGAAGGGGTGGATAGGGCTGGGAGAACTTAGGTGAGATAGTGCTAGGTGGATGCAGTCAGGGGATAGTGGAGATTGGGGTCTGTGGGAAGGGTGAGGTAGATAGGTGGGCAAAGAAGATGGACAGGTTGTGTCAGGTCAAGGAAGCAGGGACGAGAGGAAGGGTTGGACATGGGATGAGGCCAGGGGTAGGGAGATTTTGAAACTGGTGAATTCTAAGGTGAGGCCTCTCATTAATTTAAAATAATTAGTAAGTGTTAGGAGGTTAAATGAAGCATCTTTATTTAATGCTGTTTCACAAGGATTAGCTAAGGTTCACATCACATTTATTCAGGGAAAAGACAAATGTTTTGAAGCTGAGGACAATGTAGGACTAAGGGAGAGAACTGTGCAAGGTAGTTTGTTTTGGATTTCTCCAGCAAAGAATAGGTGAAGATATAGTGGGAGAAATGGCCTCTTTCTCCATGGAAACATGTATTGTTAAATGTAATCATTTGAAATGGTCATTCTGGGAATGGAAGTGTATAGCTGGATTGCAATGATTCCTATGAGCACCTCTGAATTGAGTAGGTTGGTTCAGTTGTGAAAACATAATCAGAATGGATGGAAAAGCCAAGGATTGGACGACTGTGAATGTTAGAGAATGATTCTAGCCAAGGCTGAGTTGAAGTTTAGTCAGTGGTCAAAAATAATTTATGGAGCAGGGAAGTTGGTGGAATGAAGCAGCTTAATGGACAATAGCCATTGAAATAATAAAGCCCATAAGCTTTTTGTATTTGGCATTGTGGGAGAGAGAGCGCCTGAGTGAGATGCTTAATTGTTCAGAAAAGAATTGTGTTCACCTCACCTGTAGAATAACCTTTGGAGCAAAATTGGCACATTGTTTAATAATAGTGTTGAGGGCACAGGCTTTTCAGACAAGCCTATTTTTCATTTATGTACACAAATCTGACCTTTAGTCTGGGCCCACAGTAATGTGGTTGACTCTTAATTGCTTCTGAAATGGCCTAGCAAGCCATTTGGCTCCAGGGCATTCAGGAGCATCAAGGGCAAGAGTCAAACACATTGTTGAGGCCAGACTAGGTAAAAGTCGGCAAATTTCCTTCCCTAATAGCTATTAGTGAACCAGATGGATTTTTACAACAATGGATGATAGTCTTCATAATGGTGACCATAAAAGTATCTTACTATGCTAGAATTATTAAATTTAAATTCTGCCAGGAGGTATATTGGGATTTGAACCTGTCACCAGAATATAATTGTTAGCCTCTAGCTTACAAGTTCTGTTACATTACCACTACAACTCTGATCAGTCTCTTTGGATTGATGCTATATTGACAAATGAAACTGCTGGCGAAATGGGCCATTTCATTTGTATTAATTGTTATCTATAACAAAATTGCTATCTATTGAACTAAAAATTATTGTCATATTCTTGAATCTTTCGTGAAAAGTCGGTGTTTCAGCTACAGCAGCTTCAGCGACTGTCTCAGACTTTCCTTTTTGTTATTACAGATGCAGAACCAGGAATCTGTGAAGATATAACATGGTTATCAAGCTATTCTTTCCAAGTTGCTGCCCTGAAGCAGAAAGTGGCCTCCTAATAGGTCGTTGGATTCCAGAGCAGAATGCTGCAGTTGTCCTGGCAATTATTCACTATCCTTTCATCCCTGGCCAGGTGAAACAGTGCCTTGAGCAGATCAGAGCTCTAACTAATGTAGATGTTTCTGTGCTCGGATCTTGGAACAGCCATAACTTTCGGGCAAAAGAAGACCTTGGCCAGTTTCTGGAAGACCTGAGTTCAATCTTTCCCCATGATCTGTGGTTCCAGTTGACACAGGGGAAAGAGAGAACATCAGTTTTTGACTATGAAGTGGTTCAAAAAGGCAAAAAGAACAACAAGAAAAATGTCATCTTAATCCACTATGATCAACGCAAGGTGATGCTGTCAAAATTGCATCCTCTGGACACTAAAATTCCAGAAGATGATAATCATGCTGGAGTGATGTCAGAAGTTATTACCTCAGACTTTGCCACAATATTTGAAACTGTCGCTAAATGCGAGTTGTTTTTTGTGATTGATAAGTATGATGAAACAGTGATTAAGTTTACTCACTGGCAGTCAGAAGGAAGAGAAGCTAGTGTTGTTGTGGAACTTTTGAAACAAGCATCAGTTCCTGCGTGTGTGGTACTTTCCTTCCTGCTGTCTTTTATATCCAGTGTCTGCAAAAGCAGGTAATTGATGTTGGAGAAGATACCAAAACGTGTAGATCAATTTTAAGAGAGTTTGTCAAGTAGACCTTTTAGGAGCTAACTGTTGTTTACTTAAGCTGTTTCGCTTAGGACTTTATTTTTAAGTGCATATCTTGCAGGACAGCTGCTGACAAAGTTTGATTTCATGAAACTCCTGGAGGTGAAGGTTACGCTAGCATGATCCACTTTCCATATCCCATTCAAGTTGAGTTTAGGAATAAGCGATAAATGTAAATTCCAACTTCAGTATGTGAAACTGGAGTAATTAGTGGATGTTGTACACAGGCAGAAAGTAGGAGTAGGTTATTCAGCCTTTTGAGCCTACTCTGCCATTCAATATGGTTATGATTGATTTTTCTACTCGGTACCTTGCTCCCGCTTTCTCCACAAACTCTTTGATCACTTTAGTCCTAAGAACTGTATCTAACTCCTTTTGGAAACATTCATTGATTTGGCCTCAACAGCTGTCTGTGGCAGAAAATTTCAGAGGTTCACCACTATCTGGAGTGGTGAAATTTCTCTTTATCTTTGTCCTAAATACCCTACCCTGTATCCTTGGATTGTGACCCCGGTTATAGGGAACATCCTTTCTGCTTTTACCCTGTCGTTTCCTGTTAGAATTCTCTAGAGAGCTCCATCATTCTACTAAACTCTAATGAATATAGTTCTCAGCTATCCAATCTCTCTTCATATGTCAGTCCTGCCATCCCAGGAATCGATCTGGTAAACCTTTGTTCCACTCCCTCCATAGCTGAACATCCTTCCTCAGTAAAGAAGACCAAAACTGCCCTCAGTGCTACAAGTGTGATCTTACCAGGTTATGTATAATTGTGACAAGACATCCCTGCTCCTGTACTCTAATCCTCTTGCTATGAAGGCCAACATATCATTTGCTGCCTTCACCTGCTGCACCATGATGGCCATAAAGATTTCACACAACATGAATCCTTGTAGAGCATCTGTCAATCTTTTTTAATCTAAAATAACCTTGAATGCAAATAAGGTTCCCCTTTATAAAGGCAATTTTCACGTTTTCTTTTAAGCTTTTTTAGAAGATGCTGCATAAGAAATTGGAGAGGGGGTGAAATACAAGGTTCAGTATTAGAATCATAGAACTTTACAGTACAGAAGGAGGCCATTTGGCCCATCATGTCTGTACCAGCTCCTGTGAAAGCTACCCAGTTAGTCCTACTCTCCAGCCCTATCACCGTAGACCTAAAATAGCAGATTGGTGGAGGTTTCATGTTCCATTTAACCTGTCCCTAATCAATGGCTGTTGTTGACAAGATTCCAACAGTGTTTCTGAAACAAGTGTAAAGTTAAAAACACAGGACTTAGGGCTCTCCGTAGATTCACACTACACTGATTTTAAAAAGGGCTGTAAGTGCAACGGAAGGTCATAGTGGAAGTTAAATAAACAGGTTGGGCCTATGTTCATAGGAGTTGTCAAGAGTAAGAGGTGATTTTGTTGAAACATACATGATCTTGAGGAGGCTTGATAGGGTGGATACTGAAAAGCTGTTTCTCCTTGTGGGAGGAATCCAGAACCAGGAGGCTCAGTTTTAGAATAAAGCTCCCCATTTAAATCAGAGACTAGGAGGAATTTCTTCACTCATGGGTCTGTTAGTGGTTGGAATTTACTTCCTCAGACCAGTGGAGGTTTCGTCATTAAATGTATTTAAAGCTGAGTTTGACAGATTTTTGATCAATAAGGGAGTCTGTGGTTATGAAGGACAGGCATGAAAGTGGAGATAGGGCCACAATTAGATCAGCTTTGATCTTATTAAATAGCAGGGCAAGCTGAAGGAGTCAAATGGCCTACTTTCCAATTTTTAGTGGCCTTTTGAAGTTACTGCTAGTGAGGCCCAGTGATTTCATGTTCAACCTTGGGGAATCTACTGCTAGTTACCTTGTCTGAGATCAATTTTTCAGTGTGCAATGCCTTAAATATTATTGTGTGGTCAAACACCCCTGTTATTTGTGAGGGGCCTGTACAATAGCTCCTAGGCAGCCACAATGCTTAGTGAGAACATTGAGCTTGGTAGAAGTACATTTTATAAAATTTCACATTGGTCTCTTCTGACAAAATGGATCACACTAAGTCTTCACAAAAATGTGAATATTTAAATCATACTTTCTGAAGAAATGCAAAAGCTAAACTTGGAACTTCCTAGCATTATATAAGAAATCAGAACAGCAGTAGGCTTGTTCAGCTTGCTTCATTGTTTAGTGAGAATATAGAATCCCTACAGTACAGATAAAGGCCATTCATTCCATTGAGTCTGCACCAGCAGTCTGAAGAGTGTCCATCCCCCCACAACCCTGCATTTACTATAGCTAACTCACCCAGCCTACACAACATGGGGCAATTGAGCTTGGCTAATTCACCTAGCCTGAACATCTTTGGACTGTGGGAGGAAACCACAGCACCCAGGAGAAACCCACACAAACACAGGGAGAACGTACAGACAGCCACCCAAGGCTAGAATCAAACACAGGTCCCTGGTGCTATAAGGCAGCAAATGACCACTGTACCATCCATGGTTGATCATCTATTTCCTGCACTAACTCCGTGTTCTTATATGTTTTTAATGTGTTGAAATCTATCAATCTCAGCCTTAAACATACTTCACCATATCTTGCAGTAAAAGCTGAATAAATCTAAACAAAATAGATAAATATTTATGGTGCCTAGAAGAATGACTGCTAAAAGGAACCTCATCTCAAAAATTGAGGGTCAGTAAGCCAGTATATCAACTGAGCAGATGAGATTTGAGCTTGGAGCTGTGATAAAATTTTAATGTATTGTAGGTCATATAATCTGGCACATAAGCTTTCCTGAAAGTTCGATGTATGATGAAACTATGGTCCCACTTTCTAATTGCATCATTCCCCCTCTCTCTCTCAACATGCTGCAATTGAAGTTCATGCACTATTGAAGCCATTGAGGTAGTGGTACTGCATGACCTTGCAGTGTTGTACTCTCATGACTCCTGTAATTGAAGCTGTCAGCAGGAGAGCAAATAGAAATCAGTATGGTGCTTGTGTAGGTTAGAAACTGGTGTGGATAGAAACAGCAGGAGCACCTTCAACCCCATGAGCCTGTTCCATCATTCAGTGAGATCATGGCTGATCTGCAACCTAACTCCAAACATTAGCATTTGTTCCATATCCCTGACTAAATTGAACTGAGAGTTTTATCAGTCTCACTTTTAAATTGAACAATTAGTTTAGCATCACTTGTCATTTTCAGAATTCCATATTTCTACGACTGTTTGTATGTAAATTGCAAATGACCACATATTAGCTGATTTACACTGACCAACTTTACAGAAGCAGCATCTCACTCTTATCCCATCCAGATTTTCATAAATTTGCTGTATTTGAATGTGAATTGCCAACTAAACTTGCCATAGAAAGCCAGGTCTAGTAATTGAATATCCTTTTAATAATGTGACCATTGAATATTGCTGCAGAAAAAATTTATTGAAGTTTTTCATCTTGCATTCATCAGAACAATTCAAAAGGATATCAATTTAAAGGGGAAAACGAACATTTATACCGTGATATAAATTTACACAATATTAACTTAATTTTCCTGTTAAATTGGTATTCCTGTAAACTGCCCTCATGAGTGCAAGATGAAAAGCTTCAATAAAATTTCTTTATTTCAGCAATTCTCAAATTCTCAAACTAACAAATGAGAACATTATCACTACTTATGACTGCCAATCAATTTTGCTCAGACTGTGAACACTTGGGAATACAGTGCCTTTATTCCTTTAGGTTATAAACTTGTACGATTTCATATTTGTTTTTATGAAAAACTTCTCCTTTCTGACTCTCACTTTGTTTAATCCAATCTTTCTTTCTTTGCCAGCTTGGGGATTGACTTCATTCACTTGAATTCACATTCCATCTCAGACCTTCATCCCTTTTATTTTTTAGTCCTTCAAACTCACTAATTAAGTTAGTTAGTTATTAAATAGTTACAGATTCACCCTGTTCAACAAACCAATATCCATATGTTAAATTAGGTAACAAATTACTTTTCGAAATATACAATGGTTTTATTGTGAATCTATAGTTTGGCCAAAACACCAGTTTCCAACAGTCTAGAAGCCCACACCCACCTGAAGAAGAACCCACTTTTTTTTAATGTATAAAATAAACCCAAACTAAATTCAAACTCTTTAGTATTTTCAATCAACCTGTTTAGATACAAAATGGCATACCTCTGAAGCAGGTGGGAGTTGAAGCCAGACCTTTTGATCTAGAGGTAAGGATACTATTACTGTGCCACAAAAACCCCAGAACTCAGCTCTTTTCTTAAAATAGATTTGCCACCAATTGAACAAAACATTCAATTAACAAAATTACAAACTACCCCCCGGGGCAGTGAAACAATAACATCAAATAAAAGGGAAGGAAACAAAGGAATGATTTAAATCGGTCTATATAGGAGATGATGCTCCCCAGACCCATGGTGTCCACCTGTCTCTGAGAGTCTCAAGAGTAGGGGAGAGCATATGTTTCCTCTTCAAGGACACCCAGGTACCGATGTAACCGTGGGAGAGAGGCAGGCAGTTGGAAATTATGGTGCCCTGCACGATCCACTGCCTGTACCTGTTGATGGCAATTTTAAACAGGCCCACAAGGATGTCCTCTGACCTGCTTGGCCCCACCACCAGGTTATCCGATTTAACAATTAACAAACTGCCAACCAGAGGCAGCAGAACCCAGCTCCTTTTTATTAATCAACCTGTTCTGATTATAACACACTTCTGTGGCAGTTGCGAGTAGGGACTATCAATGTGCCATAAGACCCCTAAAGGTTCCAGTTCATTTTTTTCCAATAAGAAAATTAAATCAACTTGTTTTTACAAGCTTCTAGAGGAGATGGGACTTGACCCTGGGTTTTCAAACTCAAGAAGGGCACTACATCGCTCAACAGGCACCCTCCCCGGGTTTTTTTTTATTTTGTAAAACCCACCATCAACTCACCCAATTAACTAATTTAAATATAATAAATTACAATCAACCCTGGAGCTGTTCTGTTTAACCCTTAATCTCTAAGAATGGTACACTCCATTGTTCATCATGGTCCGGGATGCCCTGTTTCCCTTGCAGCATTGATACAGTTTGCATTTCCAGCTGCTTTGTGCACCTAAAAAATTTTTTTAAAAAATGGTGTATGCCTGTGCATACCCTGTTCAAGCAAAATCTGGGCCATTTATCTGTATAATCTTGATGAGATAGAAACGTACTCGTTGCACTGCTTTTAGGGTCATGTGTAACAAATTTTATAGGCAAATAAATTATTGTGCATAATTGCTACACAGTTCAGATCACTTTTTTTTTAAAAAAAGGAAAGCTTCAAAGTTCACAACTGTAGTTATCATAAAATATTCTTCCAATGTTTGACATTTCAAGGACAGCTAAACCTCTTTATGCAGAATGTACCAGACTGTGTTTATACTACGCATAAGAGATTAAAGTGTGTTCTTTTTGTCCTTTTGCTGTAGAGTGTTAAACATGTGGCCTCTGTGTTTTTTATGGAGTAAACTCTCAACCTGTGTGCAGCTTGCACATCGCTTGGATCACTTGCAAACTATCGCAACAACTGCAAAAGCACAGAGTCACTCGGAGTTTATGAGGTACAGTAGGCTTGACATTTTTATCTTCATGAATAAATCTGGTATCTAACCTCAACCATAAAAAAAAATGACATCTGTCCACTTGTACTTATTGATCTAAAACGGCAACTATATATCCAGTTAGGGTGGCCCACTAGGACAGCAAGCCAACTAAAATCGAACAGTCTTTTAATAATTTGAGGTACATTCATTTCTACAACTGGATGACAGTTGCACTTGCAAATGTATAGACGCGATTTACAGTCTCCAGAGGAAAGAAACCACATTAGCTTTCAATACTTCGATTTTTTAAAAAATTCTATCTTAAATTATTTGTAATTAGACTGCTAATAGTTTGTTGGATGTCTATGAGTCCGATAGACATGTTTGTGTAGAAATTAGTCAGGCTGTTAAGGCATTCGTTCATAACTTGTCATTTCACAGCTGATGTTCTAACTATTGACCTCCTATGTCAAATGAAAGCAACCTGTTGCTGTTAGCCACAAAAGTCAACGACTTGAGAAATTTAAAGTTAAAAACTAACCTGTTTGTTGGGGAATTATTAAATTTGCCATGTTGTGTTTTCGAGGAGGTCTAGTAGAATTATTGCTAGTCAAGTACTCACCAAAGTTCTCCAACTTACTTTTTGATAAGGCAGCATTTGATATATTCCAGAAAACATTTTATTTTCTTCCAGAAAAGCCAACCTGTTTGTTTCATTCTTAATTGATGTGGCTCTTGGATTGTTGTTGATCTCCTGGCTTTATGAGAAGAATCGAATTGGCCAGTTGGCGGATGCCCTTGTTCCAGTTGCTGATGTAAGAAATTTTATATCTCTTAATCTTTTGAAAAAAACATGTTAACTATTGGGAGAAATTTTGTCACTTTTATGTCCATTTCTAGGTTTTAATTTATAAACCTTTGCTGAATGATCTTCAACAGCTGAGCAGAAAGTGTCCACCTTCACACAATCATTTTTACTGGCTTAATTGAGGTCAGGTTACGTGCAATGTGACTTCTGTACTATCAAAGAATAAACTTACAAGAGATAGTAAGAACTGCCGATGCTGGAGTCTGAGATAACACAGTGTAGAGCTGGAGGAACACAGCAGGCCAGGCAGCATCAGAGGAGCAGGAAAGTTGAAGTTTCGGCTTGAGACCCTTCTTCAGAAATGGGGGAGGGGAAGGGAACTCTGAAATAAATGGTGTGGGGAGTTGGGCTGGGGAAGGTAGGTGGGATGGTGATAGGTGAGTGCAGGTAGGTAGTGGTGGGGATTGGTCAGTGAGGTGGGAGGAGCAGATAGGTGGGAGAGAAGACGGATGGGTCAAGGAGGCAGGGATGAGAGGGAGGGTTGGTCTTGGGATGAGGTCGGGGGTGGGGAGATTTCGAAGCTAGTTAAGTCCACATTGAGACCATTGGGTTGTCGGCTCCCAAGGCGGAATATGAGGTGCTGCTTCTCCAGTTTCCAAGTGGCGTCATTGTGACGCTGGAGGAGGCCCAGGATGGATATGTTGTCCAGGGAGTGGGAGGGGTAATTGAAGTGGTTCGCGACTGGAAGGTGTGATTTGTCACAAACCGAGTGCAAGTGCTCTACAAAGCGGTTTCTGAGCCTCCACTTGGTCTCACCGATGTAGAGGAGGCCACATCGGGAACAGTGGATACAATAGACCACATTAGCAGATGTGCAGGTGAACCTCTGTCTGATGTGGAAGGTTTTTTTGGGGCCTGGGATGGGAGTGCGAGAGGAGGTATAGGAGCAGGTGTAGCACCTCCTGCGGTTGCAGGGAAAAGTGCCGGGAAAGTGGGGCTAGTGTGGAGTGTGGAGCGGACGAGGGAGTCGTGGAGAGAGCGGTCCCTTTGGAAGGCAGATAAGGGTGGGGAGGGAAATATATCTTTCGTAGTGGGTCAGATTGCAGGTGGTGGAGAATGATACATTGAATCCGGAGGCGATACATGAGGACAAGGGGGATTCTGTCTTTGTTTTTGTTGCGGGGAGCGGGTGTGAGGGCAGAGGTGCGGGAAGCGCAAGAGATGCAGTTGAGGGTGTTTTTGACCACGGAAGGGGGGATGTTACGGTCCTTGAAATACGAGGACATCTGGGATGTTCGGGAGTGGAACGCCTCATCTTGGGAGCAGAGGCGGAGGAATTGGGAATAGGGGGTCGCATTCTTGCAGGAAGATGGGTGAGAGGAGGTGTAGATTAGGTAGCTGTGGGAGTCTGTGGGCTTGAAATAGATATCAGTTTCCAGGTGGTCACCAGAAATGGAGTCAGAGAGGTCCAGGAAGAAGAGAGAGGTATCAGAGATGGTCCAAGTGAAATTGAGGTTGGGGTGGAAGGTGTTAGTAAAGTTGATGAACTGTTCGAGTTCCTCATGGGAGCACAAGGTGGCGCTGATATAGTCATGGATTGTAGCGGAGGAAGAGGTGGGGATTAGTGCCAGTGTAGCTGCGGAAGAGGGACTGTTCCACGTATCCTCCAAAGACGCTCCACGTATCCCATGGCCACCCCCTTACTCTGTAGGAAGTGGGAGGAGTTGAAGGAGAAGTTGTTAAGGGTAAGGATGAGTTTGGTTAGGCGGATAAGGGTATTGGTGGAGGGGGATTGATTGGGCCTGTGGGAGAGGAAGAAGCGGAGGGCTTTTAGGCCATCTGCATGGAGAATGCAAGTATGCATGGATTGGACATCAATAGTGAAGATGAGATGTTGGGAGCCAGGGAATTGGAAGTCTTGGAGAAGGTGAAGGGCATGAGTGGTGTCCCGGATGTAGGTGGGGAGTTCCTGGACCAAGGGGGAGAAAATGGAGTCGAGATAAGTTCAGTGGGGCAGGAGCAGGCAGAAACAATGGGTCGGCCCGGCCAGTCGGGTTTATGGATTTTGGGAAGGAGTTAGAAATGGGCGGTGCGCGGTTGCGGAACGATGAGGTTGGAGGCTGTGGGTGGGAGGTCACCTGAGGTGATAAGATGATGGATGGTCTGGGAGATGATGTTTTAGTGGTCAAGGGTGGGGTCATGATCAAGGGGGAAGTAGGAGGAGGTGTCAGAGAGTTGGCACCTGGCCTTGGCAACATAAAGGTCAGTGCGCCATACTACAACTGCGCCTCCCTTATCTGCGGGTTTGATAGTGAGGTTAGGGTTGGAGCGGAGGGCTGCATGTTCTGTGGGGGAGAGGTTGAAGTGAGTGAGGGGTGTGGAGAGGCTGAGGCAATCTATGTCGCAACGGCAGTTGGAGATGAAGAGGTCGAGGGAGGGTAGGAGGCGATGGGGTGTGTTGGAGGCAGGAGAACGGGTTTGACTCGTGGTTAAAGAAATGAGGCGGAGGCGGCAGAAAAACTTCAACGTCCAGGCGTGAGCGGTATTCATTGATGTTCGGGTAGAGGGCGATGAAGGTGAGTCCTTTACTGAGGACTGACCATTCGTCCTCAGTGAGGGGGAGGTCTTGGGGGATAGTGAAGACCTGGCAGGACTTGGGGCTGGCATTGGCTGTGGAGCTGGTGGCTGTGGGGGCAGTGGGTGGAGCGGTGTTGGCGGGTGGGCAGAACGGTATTGGCAAAAGTGACATTGTCCTTGATGTGGGCGGCGACAGCGGCGTCCTTATTGTAGGCAGCACTTGGCCTCAGCGGCAGTATCCATGGTGTGGATGGCGGTAGCGGTGGCATGGCTTGCGGAAGTGACGTGGCCGGCATCGGCGGATGTGACGCGATCCGTGGCATCCACGGGTGATGCGATGGTGACCACGTGGTAAATGGCGCCAGGCACATTGTGGGGATGGTCCTGGGTAGAGCTGGGGACTTGGGAGGTGGAAGAGGCCTGTGTTTGGTGGCAGGCACCAGTAAGTTTACTTACAAAAGATTGGTTTATATTTCTGAAGAAGGGCCTAGGCCCGAAACGTCAGCCTTCCTGCTCCTCTGATGTGGCTTGGCCTGCTGTGTTCATCCAGCTCTACACCTTGTTATCTCAGATTCTCCAACATCTGCAGTTCCTACTATCTCTGGTTTATAGAATTGTCAAGTTCACACTACATGACCAGAGTAAGAGACATTTTAGCAGCATAGGCTGATTCAATACATACACAAATGGTATACAGCAATGAAGGACACTTTTTTAAATAAATCGTAGACATGGACTATGGTGTTAAGTTGGACAAAATCATCAGATATAAATTTTGTGAAGAATGTTAAATGTCATTTAACATCTAATAGTGTGTTAGACTACATTTTAAATTTAAATTGAAGTAGTGGTTTGAAACTAAATTTCATTGCAAATGCAGCTGTAGTCGTTGATCTCAAATAGTATCAGTCAAGTAAATAGTGCATCAAACTCAGTGACAACGGACTACTTCCCCAGTCAGTTAAAATTTACTGTTAGAATAACGTGTCAGAAACTTTTGTAAAAATATTGACTATATGTGCTGAATCCTATCCAGATTGTCTGTGATTTCTTTTTAAATATGGTTTCACCAGGCTGGAGTTGCACTACATGTAATGTCAAATCTAAGTCTGTTGAGTGTTTTCATGCCAGAATCTGTGAAGATGAGACATTAATAAATATTTCTGTGATAACAGCATGTTGCAAAGGAGTTGCAGGAACTGCTAGAGTGGCTGATGGGAGCTCCTGCTGGTTTAAAGATGAACAAAGCACTTGACGAAGTGCTGGGACGCTTCTTCCTGTATCACATACACCTTTGGATAAGTAAGTAATTCCCTGCTGCTGTAGAGTCATAGTGTCATACAGCATGGAAACAAAGCCTTTGGTCCAAATAGCCCATACCAACCATAATCCCAAACTAAACTAGTCCCACCTGCCTGTGCTTGGCCCATATCCCTCCAGACCTTTCTTATTCATGTACTTACCCAAATGTCTTTTAAATGTTATAACTGTACCTGCATCCACCACTTCCTCTGGAAGTTCATTCCACACACAAACCACTCACTCTGTAAAAACAAAAAATGTCGTCTCTCACGTCCTTTTTAAACCTTTCTCCTCTGACCTTAAACATATGCCCCCTAGTTTTAAAATCCCCCACCCTAGGGAAAAGACACCTGCCATTCACCTTATCTATACCCCTGATGATTTTAAAACTCCATAAGATCACCCATCAACCTCCGACGCTCCAATGAAAAAAGTCCCAGGCTAGCCAGCCTATTTTTATAACTTCAGCCTTCCATTCCCAGCAACATCCTTGTACGGTTGTTGACTTGCTCACCCAGCTGGCTTGTTCTCGTTCAGACGTTTCGTCACCATGCCAGGTGACATTATCAGTGGAGCCTCCAATGAAGTGATGTTATTCTACTCAGCTTGGAATTTATATTGTTTGGTCCGTTATGGTGAGAAGTGTCATTTCCGGGGTTTTGATCTGTATGGGTTTGAATATGGAGTCCAATTCTATGTTTGTTGATTGCATTACGGGTGGAGAGCCGTGCCTGTAGGAATTCCTGTGCATGTCTACGTTTGGCTTGGGCTACTATTGTTACCTTGTCCCAGCTGAACTGATGGCCTTCATTGTCTGAGTGTATACACATAGAATTGGACCCCATATACAAACCCATACAGATCAAAACCGGAAATGACACTACTCACCATAACGGACCAGACAGTATAAATTTCAAGCGGAGTAGAATAACATCGCTTCATTGAAGGCTTTGCTGATGATGTTACCTAGCATGGTGACGAAACGTCTGAACAAGAACAAGCCAGCTTGGCGAGCAAGTCAACAACCTCATCCACAGATACAGATCTTTGCCAAAACTTTGAACATCCTGGACATCTTTTCCAAACCCCCTCCAGCTTGATAATATCCTTCCTATAAGAGGGCCACCAGAACTGGACACGATGCTCCAGAAGAGGCCTCACCAACATCCTGTACAAAGTCAACATGAAGTCCCAACTTGTTTGCTCAAAAGTTTGAGCAATGAAGGCAAGGATGCTAAATGCTTTTCTAACCACCCTGTCTATATGTGACGCAACCTTCAAAGAATTATGTACCTGAACCCCTAGGTTTCTCTATTCTGTAACACTACCCAAGGCTAATTGTACAAGCCCTGCCCTTTCTGTTTTACCAAAATGCAATGCCTCGCATTTAACCAAATTAAACTCCCATCTGCCATTCCTCAGATGATTCCTCAGACCCAATCGATCAAGATTTCTTTGTAATCTTAGGTAACCTTTTTTACTGTCCAGCATACCACCAATTTTGGCGTCATCCGCAAACATAGTGACCACACCTTCTACATTCTTGTCTAAATCATTTATATAAATGACAAACAAAAGCACACTCAGCACTGATCCCTGTGGAACACTGTTGGTCACAGGCCTCCAGTTCAAAAAAAGCAACTCTCCACCACCACTCTCTGCCTCCTGCCAGTACTTCTGAAATTGTCACTTTGCCTACGTAAATGACCACACTTCAAAAGTCAGTAGTTTAGGGTGTGTTGATTTGTTCTTTCTTGAGTCTGAAGATAAAACTGGTTTAGATTTTCACGGTTGTTAGCGAACATGAACTTTCTTAAGAAACAACAATAGCTCTGTAAATCTGAAACAAACACAGAAATACTGGAAGCATTATGGGTCGGGTAGCATTTCCAGAGAGAACACATTTGACAAGAATTTTTATTGTCGTTTCTCCGATTGTAATTTGAAATCCTTTCTGTAGTCTTTAAATTTCTAAAGAAGTATTTTGATTTGCCAAACCCTTTTGCACAGAGTAGCTCTTGTTTTAGTTACTAGCATTTTTATATTCATGTTTTTCTTCCCACACATCATTTTTAGTATTTGCGTTGGCAATTTTGGTTAAAGCTGAAACTAATCAGATGTGATTTCCATCTTTATAACAATAAGTCTGATGGTTCCATCAAAATACAACATTAGAAGACACAGCTAGCCTTAAGAAAGCAAATTTAACAGTCCTCTTCGTTTTAACAGCTATGTTGGTAAACATAGGTAACATTACCAACTGTAACAGTACTGTACTTGTTTATGAAGTTTACATATGGCATTCTTTATTTCTTGTATTTTGACATTAAAATGACTGAATGACTCAATGATTGAATAGTTATAGAACAAAAAAGTTAATGTTCCCTCTTGTGGGAAGAAGATTGGAGAAATTGTTTAGTTTGCTTTCGGTGAATTCGAAGGGAAGCAAATACTTTCTTGAAAATTTTAGTCGAGTTGAAAGTTAACCTCCATTTTCGATTCTGAATAGAACACTGTTTATGCCGGGGGAGAAAGCACAATTTATTTCTATGGTGAGCAGTTATCCAATGTAACTCCTTCTAAGAAGAATATGATGAATGGTAATTTTAGTTGCAGAAAAGCAAGTTATCAAATTAATATCTGTAGGTACAGAAAGTGGTTAGAGAGAAAGCTTTAATGATGAGTATTCATTTGCAATTGCAATTCAGCATTGCTTGCATTTTAAATAGCGTTCACTCAGAACTTTTGTCAAGTTTCTTGTTAAGTACGACAACATCAGTTCAATGTGTATTTATTCCATAGGTTATATCCATCTGATGTCTCCATTTATTGAGATGATCCTGTGGTACGTTGGATTAGCAGCATGTCTTGGTTTGACTGTCGCCTTGTCCATTGTTTCAGACATCATTGCTCTGCTGACTTTTCACATCTACTGCTTTTATGTATATGGGGCCAGGTAAGATGACAACATTTAATCAAGGGCCAGCAAAAGTTTACTGACCAGCAAACTTTTGCTTTAAAAAAAAGACATTTTGAACTGAGAAAACTATTGATTATTTTGTTTTGTTCCAACATGGTAGCTCTCCTCCTACAGCTTAGGTTTACAACTGTCTTGTTTGAGTATAAGAATCAGCAAGCTTAAGTCTCTGTGACCCAGAACCTCTTGAAGGTGTCACCTGTGCTCAGTTAATAGCAGTTTTGCCTCTGACTCAGAATTTGAATGTTCATGTTTCACTCCAGGAACATTATTTATTTATTTGTTTGTTTGTTTGTTGGTGTGTTATGGACATCACTGGTTTGGTCAGCATTTATTACCCATCCCAATTATTCTTGAGAAGGTGATGCTACAGTTGTTGGGACCCACAGTACTGTTGGAAAAGAAATTCCAGAATTTGGTCCCCAACAAGAATGAGGGATATTTCCAGGTCAAAATGGTGCATGGCCTGGGGAGGAGAGACTTGCAAGAGGGTGATATTCCCAGTCATCTGCTGCCCTTGTCCTTCTAGATTGTAGAGATCACAGATTTGGAAACTCTTCTCGAAGGAGTCCTGGTGAGTTTCTGCAGTGCATCTTGTAAATGGTGCATGCTCCAGCCACTGCGCATCAATGGTGGAGAGAGTGAATGCTGAAAGTGGGATGCATGCAATACCAGGCAAGCTTCTTGAGTGTTGTTGGAGTTGAACTTATCCAGACAACTGGGGAGTATCCCATGACACTCCTGACTTGTGCCTTGTCGATTGTTGACAGGGTGTGGGAAGTTAGGAAGTGAGTTAATCGCTGCAGGAACCCTAGCCTCCGAGCTATTCTGGTAGCTACTATATTTATATGACTAGTTCAGTTCAGTTCAGTTTCTTGTCGATGGTAATCTCCATGATGTTGATAGCGGAGGATTTAGCAATAGTAGTGCCTTGAATGTCAAAGGACGACAGTTAGATTCTCTTTTGGAGATGGTCATTGCCTGACACTTGTGTGGTGCTTGCCACTTAACAGTGAAATTCTAGATATATACAGATCTCTCTGCATATGGACATAGACTGCTTGAGTATCTGAGACAACACAAATAGTATTTGACATTGTACAATTATTGGTGCGTATCCCTACTTCTGAACTCATGTTCTTGGCATCAAGTTATGTTATAATCTGTCTTGGAACCAGTAACCTATTTTCTTCAACTGGATAAAGTTTGAGATCCTAATTACTTAGAGAATGAAGCTGCAAGTTTTCACAATGTTAAACAAACAAAAGTGAACATTACTGTATGGATGTATACACACACAACCTTTAACATTCAGAATTAATCGGTGGTAAATGCAGATAGCAGAAGAACTGTGATCAAATACAATCAAGATATCTCAACTTTCTCCCAGTGACAGTGACAGTAAAACTCATTAAAACATCACTAGGTTCTATGAACTCTTCTCTCTTGCAGATCTGGCCTTGAAATGCCCTCAAAAGCTGCCCCATCCCGGATCACCTCAACAGCAGCTCAAATTCTAATTTTTCACTCTCCTTTCCTGGGACAGTGCTCCCAAAGTTCTTGACACTACACTCCAACACCTGTTTAGAGGCACAATTCCAGCTTGGCTGCAGACAGCTAGCTTCATCTAGCTAGTATTGCTGCCAGTTTCTCAGAGTTTCAATCTTAGCTGCACGAAGCAAATCCCCTTCTGTAGAAGGGTAACTGGACTCAGAATATTAACTCTGCTTTCTCTCCAGATGCTGCCAGACCTACTGAGTTTTTCCAATAATTTCTATTTCAGTCTCTGCTTGTGGCTTTTCTTTATAACCCCCATTTCTCAGCTGGATTTAGCTATTTCTGGCCCACAAGCTGCATCCAAGTTCCCACACCTCCCAGGGGTTTTCCTAAGCTCTAACAATAAAACTAAACTGCACCTTCTGGCTTCAGGGCTTCTATGAGTCCTAATACAGGGAGTTATCAAATGGTTCCCAAGTTGTCTTTGTTAGCCCCAGTTACACAGAACTACTTTGAGCAGAAGAGTGATAGCAGCACTTTTTCTGTATGGAGGCTATTCCCCTACTCCTTATTCTCTCTTATAACTCACTCCTCAGTAACCCTTGAATTATTGAGTCACTGATAACCTCACAGGAAGCCCCACTATTTTTCCTAGGCAGATTTGACTATTTCTCGATTGTCATAATTTTGTTGCTAACTTCCTCTCTGCACCTCAATGCAAGCAATGCAAATGGATACAGAAAAATGGATTTCATCATGTGTTATGATGCAGGGAAGGTCACTTTCTCACCAAACCTATGTTGATCTCCAGAAGTCCAGTGCTGAAAGATGACTGCACTTTTGGAGGACAAAACTTGAAAATTTGGGCCCTTGCATCCTTTCTGGTGGGTGCAAAAGAATGATGGCAATATTTTGTAGTAGAGCATGGGAAATATTCCCAGTCCTCTGGTCAACATTTATCCCTCAATGAACCATTAAAAACAGATTGCCTAGTCATTACCATATTGCAGTCTGTGAGGGCTAGGAAATAATACGGCCTTGCTGGTATCACTCGTGCCCAAACAACAATTTTTTTTTTTAAATATGTTTAAAAATAATTTAATCTTTTCAAATAATCATGGCCACACATTGTTTGAAATCAAGCAAGTGGCTGACATTCTCTCAGACCGACCTCCCTTGAGGTCACTAGAAAAGTGCTGAAAAATGCATTAAGAGGATGCTGATTGATTTCGGATTTTTTTGACCTCTTGCTTTAGCAAAATGCTAGACCTTTGCTCAGCATATCTTTATGGTGTGTTCAGAGACAACATGACCATATAATTCGAAAGCTTACGTGCTTCACTGCAAGCTGCTTTGTCTTGACTGTTTTAATTTTGAAATCTAGTTTATTGAAATCTGTATCCTTGCAATGTATGCACACTTGTATTTAGCATTCATTGGACCCCTCCATTTTTTGTTTTTCTAAATTTGTAAATCCACATCACAATTCCAGATGTTTAACATTATAATTTATATACATTCTGAAGTAGGAAACACTGTGGCACGGTACATTGTGTTAATAATGTTTATCATAATGCATACTTAGCTTCAATGTGATGATGTGGAGGTGCCGATGTTGGACTGGGATAGCCAAGGTCAAAAATCACACCAGGTTTATTTGAAGACACAAGCTTTTTGAGTATTGCTCCTTCAGGTGTCAATGAGAGAGGTGGTATCAGACACAGAATTTATAAGCAAACGATCAAAGAGTCAGAGAACTGATGTGAATGTATTGAACAAACCTAAGATGGCTGTTAAATCTTTAATCAGTTAGAAAGGATTAATTTGCAAATCCCAGAATTTCTTTCAAGTCAATACCCCAAGAAAAATAAAGGTTTTATCAGTATATCAGAGGTGACATCTCGGGTCAGACAATGCATTTTAGGTATGAGGCCTTGTTTAGAATCTGGCTGTGTATTAACTTGGAGTCAGACTGGTTTTATTTCCAGACTAGGAATTTATAAATTGCCACATTGTCTCCAAATTGTGTGCTGTTTGAACAAAATAGAACAAAACTACCTAGCCTCAGGACAAGATAGTAGGAACTGCAGATGCTGGAAAATCTGAGATAACAAGGTGTAGAGCTAGATGAACACAGCAGGCCAAGCAGCAGCATAGGAGCAGGAAGGCTGACGTTTTGGGCCTAGACCCTTCAGGACGACATCGACCACAACACTATACAACTCTGTCATGGCAACCTCTGCAAGAGACATGTCAGATCATCAACATGGACACTACCATCACACGTGGGAACACCACCCACCACGTACACGGCAGATACATGTTGTCTATCTGTTACGCTGCAGGCAAGGATGCCCCGAGGCATGGTATACTGCCAAAACCACGCAGATGCTACGACATCAGATGAATGGACATTGCAACAATCGCCAGGCAGGGATGTTCCCTCCCAGTGAGAGAACACTTCAGCGGTCAAAGACATTCAGCCTCTGATCTTCAGTTAAGTGTCCTCCAAGGTGGTCTTAAGGTACACAAGAATGCAGAGTCGCTGAGCAGAGACTGTTAGCCAAGTTTGGTACCCATGAGGACAGCCTCAACCGGTGTCTTGGGTTCATGTCGCAATACAGGTGACCCCACACCACACTATACACTTTCACACACATGCATGCAGGTGAGCCCACCACGCGCGCACACATACTGACACAGACCCTCTCTCATAGACACTCTGTCTCTCATACACACACTCATACACACTCTCTCTCGCGCACGCGTGCACACACACGCACAAATCTATGGAGTGAATTTGCATTTGCAGATCTGTAATTGCATGCAGATACACTCTATTTTGTTCAAAAAGCCCACAATTTGTAGACAATGTGGCATTTAATAAATTCATAGTTTGGAAATAAAACCAGTCTGACTCCAAGTTAAAACACAGACAGTTTCTAAAGAAGGCCTCACACCTAAAATGCATTGTCTGAACTGAGATGTCACCTCTGGTATACTATTAAAACCTTTAGTTATCTTGGGGTAGTGACTTGAAAGAAATTCTGGGATTTGCATATTAATCCTTTCTAACTGATTTAAAGATTTAACAGCCATCTTATGTTTGTTCAATATATTCGCATCAGTTCTATGACCCTTTGATCTTTTGCTTATAAATTCTGTGTCTGATGCCACCTCTCTCACTGACACCTGACGAAGGAGCGAGACACTGAAAGCTTGTCTTCAAATAAATCCTTGGACTATAACCTGGTGTCATGTGATTTTTGACCTAGCCTCAATGTGTGCAACTAATAGAATTGGAATTGCTAATTGTCTTCTCTCCATAATCGAGATAGTTTCCTCTGCTGATCTCTGGGTTTACTTTCAAAATTATCATTCCATATAGTTAAATATCTTGCTCACCAGGTGGTCCTAAAACATTTCATTCTTCTCACAGCGATATGTCTAGAGTGCCATTTTCCTCATAATTGTTTTCAGTC